ATACTATATGTATACATGTTATTTTATAAAAAATTAATTAATAAAACCAAAATTCTTTTACGGAATTCGCAAAAGTTCGTAAAGATCATTTATAAAAGTATATTTTGTTCTAATAAATGAAATTCTTAAATAAAACCAATGTGTAATTCGGTGTTCACAATTGTAATCATACAACAACCAGTACTTGCGCGTTTGGATTCAGTCTTTGTTAACAAATTGAGGCATTGCTAATGTAATAATTAAAAAGCACTCTTATTATTTAAAACGTAACAAACACTAAATTTAACGATGATGATTATGCAAGGTAATGATTCAAAATCCTGACCTCTCTCGGCATTCATTACATACCCTTGAAATACACCTAGATTTGCAAATTCCCCTTTCTCCATAACATTAAACAGTACAGATAAGAGAACTGCAAGTACGTTTAATTTGACCAGAAATTACGTTTCATTGTTTAAAACAAATTATGAATTAGTTTGTGAATTCAACGAGCATCAGAGTTGCTATACCGTGCAGGTAGAGAGAGCGAGCATTCGGATAGAAGAAGGCAGGCAGTACGCTCGAATAATAACCCAAATTAAAATATAAATTTCCTTATTTTACATGAAAGCTCATTGTATTTAATATAGAAAAATACCCCATGTTTTTCTGGAATAAAAAGTGTCCTAGAAATGAAACAATTTTCAAAACCCTCACCTCTCTCTGCATGCATTACATACCCTAGAAATACATCTAAATTTGCAAATTGCTTTCTCCATAACAGTAAACAGTACAGATCAGAAAACTGCAATTACGTTTAATTTGACCAGAAATTACGTTTCAATTGTTTAAAACAAATTATGAATTAGTTTGTGAATTCAACGAGCATCAGAGTTGCTATACCGTGCGGATAGAGAGAGTGAGTATTCGGATAGAAGAAGGCAGGTAGTACGCTCGAATAATTAAACATTTATACATATAAAATTTATTATTTTACACGAAAGCTCATTGTATTTAATATAGAAAAATACGGCAAATGTTTTTCTGGAACAAAAAGTGTGCTAGAAATGAAACAATTTTCAAAATCCTCACCTCTCTCGGC